CACATACACATGATCTGTTCTGCGTTGTGCTATCACTAATACCGAGTATGTTCTCATAGACTCATCCCTATACAGAAAAACGAATCCTTTTTTTTACCAAGTTTTCCAAAGAATAGATCGCAAAGCTTAAGGAATCGAATACTCCTGTAATGGACTAGATAGTTTCAAAATGGTTAGCCCATTCCAGAAGAAAAACAGCTGGGAATTAGTAAATTCATCTACTTGGCATTGTTTTACAGTCAACAAAAACTAGAATAGATTTTTACTTTATAGTGGTATATCTGATGGTATGTTTCTAAAAGGTCCAAATGTCATTTAAAAAAAAAAAATAGGAAGGGGAGAGAGGATTCACGATGAGATTCAAAACATCGCTCCTCCGTTTCCAAGCCTCTGCCCACTCTCAAATCCTGCCCTCTTGCTTCTCCCAGTTTTGCTCAGTCCCCTCACCCAGCCCTGGCCCCACCAGGTACGCTGTCTTTCCTTCTCGTCCCCCTCCTTAGACACTGCACCCCACGCAGCACCCTCTCCTCTTCTCATCCACCCTAACCCTCGCTGCTAGCCTCCTCCTCTTCCAGCCACACCCGTACTTGCCACTTCCAAAATCGCAAGCCCTCACCCCAAGTCTGTTCTCCCCACTCCCTGCTTTACCTGCTGTGCTCTGCTCCCAGCACTTACAAGGCGCGCCCTGGCCATCGCTTATTGCTTCTGGTCTTGCCCTGTTTGACTCTTCGTGAGGGCAGGGACTTCAGGGTCCAGCACCTGGCTAAGAGGGTCAATAATGGTTGACCGAATTAAGCAGTTAGCGTAATGAATGAAAATAAAGGTGGTGTCTGGGATGGGAAAAATTAGAGCATGCCCAGATTCAAAACAAAAAGCAGACACCATTTTCTAAGGTAGGAAAGGAGTTTTTTTTAAGAAAGAGATGGTGTTACAGGCAAAGCTCCCAACATGCAGTCCCATGGGGCGCCACGTGTCCAAGGACCTGGCACTAAGAGGAGCCCAGCTGTCTGATGCTCTGTGGTTGAAATTATTATTTGTATTTCCTATTTTTTTATTGGAGAGGTTTTTGCTATAGGCGGCTTGCGCTCGCCAGAAAAAGAAAGACAGAAAGTGAGAAATCACCCCCCAGGGGGGATGGCCACACCACAATCCCTTCTCCTCCATTCTCCTCGGGATCCTGGGCACGTATGTATATGCGCCCAGCAGGAGTTTAAGCCACTGGCTCCAGGACTCAAACTGCGGTCGACCACACAGGAGTCCAACAACATAGCCATTACGCCAACTGCTGGTCCCTATTTTTTTTTCGAGAGAGATTTTTGCCATAGAGTGGTGTGCTTGCCACAGAGACAGAGAGAGACAGAAAGCAAGAAATTTCCCTCCCAGACTGGGTGGCCATGCCACAATCCCTTCACCTCCATTCTGTTCTCGGGATCTTGGGCACGCACGCACACGAGCCTGGCATAAATCTTAAGCTGCCAAGTCCAGGACTGGAACTGCAGTCGACCACCTGGGAGTCCAGCAATGTAACCCTAACACCATCTGCTGGCCCCTTATTTTCTTTTTTAAATTTTTTGATTGCCAGAGGGTATACGTACTCACCAGACACAGATGGAAAGGGAGAGAGCCCTCCCAAGCGGGGCACAGTCATGCTGCAGTCCTCCTCCATCCCTCTATCCTGCTGGACACCCACCCACTCACCCTGCATGTTTTTCATGCAGAAAGGGCTGGGATTCAAACCCCGATCAGTCATACGGGACCAGGACCGGCTCTCTTAGCCCTGAGACTACAAGGCCAGCCCTGCGGTCTTGAAATTCCTCATACAGGTTGACTATCCCTTATCTAAAATGCTTGGGGCCAGAAATGTTTCAGATTTGGGATTTTTTTCAGATTTTGTAATATATGCATATACATAATGAGCTAGCTCAGGGATGGGATGCAAGTCTAAAAGCGAAATTCATGTATGTTTCCCACGCATACTTATATACACAGCCTGAGGGTATTTTACACAGTATTTTCATATTGCTGCGTTTTGACTGCCATCCTCACATGAGGTCAGGGGTGGAGTTTTCCACTTGTAGCATCATCTTGATGCTCAAAACGTTTCAGATTTGGAGCATTTTGGATTTTTTTTTTTTTAAGAGAGATTTTTGCTATAGGGCCTGTGCACTTTCCAGAGACAAAGCAAGAGACAGAGAGATAGCAAGCGAGAAATCAACCCTCAGGCAATGGCCACACCTTAGTCTCCTCCATTCTCCTCTTGGGATTTTGGGCACACACACACACACACACACACACACACACACGGTGTGAGTTTGAAGCCGCCGGGTCTGGGACTTGAACTATGTGGGAGTCCAGCGACATACCCATTACACACACCATCTACTGGTCCCTGAATGTTCAACGTTTTTTTTTTTTTTTTTTGGAGAGGTTTTTGCTATAGGGCCATGCGCTCGCTAGACAGACAGAAAGAAGACAGAAAGCCGGAAATCACACCCCAGGGGGGATGGCCACACTGCAATCCCTTCTCCTCCATTCTCCTCTCAGGATCTTGGGCACGCACGCATACACGCCCAGCATGAGTTTTAAGCCACCGGGTCCAGGACTCGAACCGCGGTCGACTACATGGGACATAGCCATTACGCTAACTGCTGGTCCCTGGATGTTCAAATTTTAATGGCATCTTTGAGTTTGTGTTTTGTACGTGAAGTTCAGTGGGTCAATGGACCATGCATAGGGCCTTAAACCCTCAGTTCATGCATGGTCCTACCTCTCTTGCCACAGCCCTGGACACCCCAGGATGGTTCTCAGGGCTCCCCTGCCCCAGGTGCACTGGGCCCTATCTGGCCTCCCCTTTCCACGCTCTGCCCCCCACCTCCCCCCCCATACACACACACACTGAATGCCCCATACTCTGCTGCCAGCAGGGGTCTGGGCACAGGCAAGGAAAGATTTCAGTTTGGGCATTCAGGCCCCAAAGCATCTTGGGGCAGAGCATGGCAGGAGCTGTCCTCAGCACTCTCCCCTCTCCCCAGCCTCATGTCTGGGGGCTGGCCAGCTGGAGACCGTGTCGTGACAAGGATCATCAGGTATCCTGATCCAGGCGCAAAGAAAGTCTCAGCTCAGAGGCTTAAAGATCCTTGGGATTGGGCCAGCTCTGAGGCCTGGTGGTTAAGGCAGCCGGATCCCATAGAGCTGACCACATGGTCTGAGTCCCAGACCTAGCAGCCTGAGAAACATGCCAGGTGTGCAGGTATGTGTGCATGTGTGCCCCAAATCCCAGAAGGGAGAGATGAGAAGGGATGGCAGTATGGCCATTCCCTATGAAGGATGCTTTCTCTCTTCTGCCCCACCCCTACCCCCTTCACCCTCGTGAAGTAAAAAAAAAAATTCTTGAGGATGACCTGCGTGCCATGGGTTAGGACAATGGCCTTGTGATGAAGACGTCTGACTTGACTTCTCCAGACCTGGCATAAAGTAGTTCTGGAACTGCAGGGAAGATGGAACCAAGTAAGTGGCAGTCATGGGTCCCCAGATGCCTATGAGGGTCTGGTGTGTTGCCCTCTTCTGACCAGCTTGAGGCACTCTCCAGGGGACATCCACAAAGCAGGAACTGTGTGAGACCGGGTGGTGGTGCGGTGGTGGTGCAGTGCTAACAGGACCGGGCCCACCCACGGCAAAGGTCCTGAGTTAGCACCCCGGGGTTCGCTGAACACGCTGGGTGTACACGCATGCCCTTGATTTGGGCTGGCTGAGACGGGGGTGGTGGGTGAGGGTGTCTCAGCATGAAGGTCCAGTTGGAGGTACTACTCTCTCAGAAGAAATAAACTTAAAAAAAAAAAGAATGGTGTAATTTCCACACATGCATTAAATGCTCTAACTGCACTTAAAACTGACATTGCACTACATAAAGATGAATGGTAAAATTCATGATAATAATTCAAGGTTTTAAGTTTTCTTAGCACATTAAATAGCAAATGATACCCCAATAAGCTGGAGGGGATGACTGATATCTTGGAAGGAAAGTTATATATAACTTTTATCCTGGGCTCAGGGTCAGGGGAGAGACAGAGACAGATGGAAAGACAAGCACCCCCAACAGGATCCACTCTGTGACCCACCCCCAGCCTGTCGGCCAGCCTGGATGATGGGCACACGCACCAGCATGCACAGTGTGGTCACAGGACGCGAACCCCAGACCCTCCCAGGTGGGTCAGCGTCACAGGGCATTACGCTACTGCTACATCACCATCCGGCCCCCATATGCTCCTTTTAAAATATATATATATATATTATTCTTTAATTTTAACCAAAGAGAAAGGAAGAGTGAGAAAGCAAGCCATCAGGTCTGGGACTTGAACCATGGTTGGCCATGTGGGCGTCCAGTGCCTTAACCACCATGCCACCTGCCGGCCCCAGGTGGGGCCTTTAATGGTACTTGTTTCCTGCTTTTTGAACAAGAGTCCCACATTTTCATTTCATTCATTCATTTCATTCACCAGCCTTTGCAAGTTAGATAGCTGGCCAGAGGTTAATAGTCAATATTTATGTCAAAATGGCCCTGAGGATGAATCTCTGGCTACCGCACAAAGGCGAGGTGATCCGCTTCCAGGTGTTTGGTTATCGTTGGTCTTTGAGGGAACTACATCATTAGCTGTGCGATAAGCCTACCTATGTGAAGGAGCCATTAGCTCTCATCACTAGCCCTTCATTACTGTTGGGGATGCTGTCTCTTTGTGTCTCTGTCTCTCTTGCTCATAGAATAAGTAAGTAAAAACTTAGTTTTCTGACATTGCCAAGTGTCCCCCAGCTGAGGATGGCTGGCTCCCATGGTTACCGGGGTGGGTAGACGGACCCATCGCGGCTGCAGAGCAGAAGGCAGCTGTCCGGGGCATCCAGCCCACGCTCTCCTGCCTGTACACCCCTCCAACTAGGAGATCGATGCATGGCAGAGACCACCATAAACACGAGAAAACTAAAGAAGTATTTTATTTAATGGGACAGATGCGTAGATGACATCCAGTCGGTTACTATTGAATAGAAGAAAAAGGAAAAAAATATAGACATCACAGTGATGAATATTCACAAAGGTAACAGATTCCGTTCCAGAGCAATGGGACGTCTATGAGTAAGAGTCACCGAGTCAGAGAACGACTTGCACTCAGTCAGGTTTCCTAAGCTTAGGAACACTTAAAACCTCAGACTTAAATTTTACACCCAGACATCACAATCGGCAGCACACCACCCAATCATTTAAAACTTCTCAAGTACTATCGGGCTTAAATTTTACACCCAGACATGACGATCGTCAGCACACTCCTCAGTCACTGGAAACTTCTCAACAACTACCCCTCCTGGATAAATATTTTTTCCTAACATTATTTTTCCCCCCAAAATTTGGAATGTCACCTCGTATGTTCCTGGTAGCAGTCACACACAGGATTAAAAACCCAACCAGCCAAAGTATCATCCTTTCTATCAAGTGTTCTTAAAAGAAGAAAAAGGAAAGGTGCAGATATTTTGCACAGTCATTTCGTACAGTCATTGAGAAGTTTTAAGAACAGCGAAGCAATTCCGAAGCATCACGCTTACTGCGCCAGAGGAAGGCTCACAGAACCAAGGCTATCAAGAGAACTACAGTGCTGAAATATCCATCTTCCAAGGGTGGCCATTACCAAATACCGGACACCACTGCGGGGCTCCCGCAGGGCTAACGCATGCCCAGGATCTGTCTGCTCTTCAGCTGGTAATTTTTTTCAATGTCGGACAGCGCTTGGGCCCGCAGCTGAGCAGCGTGAAGGCGTTTCTTCAGGTCCTTGCACTTGGACTTGGAGGGGAGCTGACTCTCGGAATTCTCGCTCCTCATGACGTTCTCCTTACTTTCCCCGCTGAAATGAACTTTCTTCTTACTTATTGAGGATGGAAGATCAAGAAGTTCTTTAGGAATAAAAAATAAAAACGGTTCTGAGTTATCTGAACAGAAGTTCAACCCCATCTTACGTATTGTGCTTATCAAAAAATATTTACTCTTTCAGTTCGCATTTGAAATCTGGTACCTGTCTTATTTTCTCTGGGATAGGAGTGTAGGGGTGGGGTACTGGCAGAAATCAATCAGCCTTTTCATCCACAGCACTAATAAAGAAAACCCTAGAGTGTACCAAAACCCAAGGAGCATTTGTTTTATTCTCTTAACATTAACGTTTCTCTTAAGTGTACTAAAATATGGGCCATAATATAAAGCTTCTGGAAATCAATGTTATTTATTTCTATTTTGGAAAACAACTGCCTTTCTATGTAAAACACTTTACTTCCAGAAAAAGAGAAGCAGAGGTTCTTTCTTACAGAAGACATCTACAGTTTTGTTTAGGTGTTTACAACACTTAGTCGAAAGCAGCTTAATTCAAGAACTTGTTTCAGAAAGAGCCTGAACGCATTCGGCATGGAAAAGGTAAATCAAGAAACAGCGTAGTGAACTGCGAACTGTGCTTTCTACATGGAGAAAATGATCACATTAACGCCTGCCAGAGCCATACGGGAACTGGGCACTTGCAGGAAAATTCCAGACCTTTTTGTTTTTCTTTTGTATTCATTTAATGGAAATAGGTTCAAATATTTACTGCGCTCACAATACAGGCCATCATGAACCAAACGAAGACCCTATTCTAGCAGGAGGAGATAGCTCATTAACAAATGAACAGGGACAACAGGGGAGGACTTGATGGTGCTATGGGGCAGGCAGGCATCCTGGTGGTGGCTCCAGTGACAACAGAAAGCCTCAGAAGGACTTCTGGGCAAAGACCTGAAGAAAGCGAGGAAGTAGAAGCCACGGGGTGATCTGGACAAAGAGCAGAAGAAATGGGAACAGCCTGAGGTAGGAGCAGGCAGCAGAGACACGCGGCTTTCCAGTGGTCCTACCTCACACCCTGCGTCTGCCTCAGAGCAAACTGGATCATTCTAGACCTTAACTCCACTGCTTCAAAATATCCACCTTTCTATTATCACAAATACCTATACAACATTGTTTTCCTGGTTTTATAAGACAGAAAAGTGTTTAGAAAAATACTGGCATTTCTTTTTTTTTAGAGAGAGATTTCTGCTACAGGGTATGTGAGCTCACCAGAAAGACGTTGAAAGAGAGACAGGGAAGCCAGAAATCACCCCTCAGCGGGGATGGCCATGCCATAATCCCTTCTCCTCCATTCTCCTTTCTGGATTTTGGGGATGTATGCACACGTGTCCAGTGTGAGTTTAAGCCACCTTGTCCAGGACTTGGGTGTCCAAAGACATAACCATTATGCCATCTGCTGGTCCCAACAACTGGCATTTCATTACACAAAAGAAAAAGAATGAGCATTCCATTAAATAGACAAAGAATTGGTTTTTAAAAAGATGCTGCATGGTTTTTTTTGTTTTGTTTTGTTTGTTTTGAGAGGTTTTTGCTATAGGGTGCGTGCGCTCACCAGAAAGGCATAGAGAAACAGAGAGACAGAAAGCGAGAAATCACACCCCAGGGGAGATGGCCACGCCACAATCCCTTCTCCTCCATTCTCCTCTTAGGATCTTGAGCACACACGCACACGCACCTGGCGTTGAGTTTAAGCCACCGAGTACAGGACTTGAACCGCAGTCGACTATATGGGAGTCTAGAGACACAGCCATTACGCCAACTGCTGGTCCTTACCATGAATATTTCCATACACTGGTGAAATCTTTCTCTTACCTGAATTTCATAGCTTAAGGATGGAGACAGGATATTTCCAGCTGTCCAGAGTTCATAACGGCAGGGCACTCCCCACCGCTTTCTTGCTTATCTTATGGATCTGACATGCTCAGAACTCTCAGTACTCAATATTCTAAAATGTCCCCTAGCCTCAGGGGATAGCTCATTTTCAATGCCATTATTCACAGACTGGTAGATGCCCATACCTACATGTGCTATGACCTGAAAGACATCTTCCTTATCCAGCTCTTTTCATCCTTTGCTCAAAGACTATCGTAGCAAGGTGCAAAGCGACTCTGTAGCTGAAAAAGCCAACCCCGACAGGGTCTTCAAGCACTCTCTGCAATAGGTATGATGCATGAACCTCACCCAGATCAAATTTTCTCCTCGCTTTATCATATCTAGTCGTGATTCCAGTCTATTTTGTCTTTATAGACGATAACGTGAAATCTAAGAGAAAGCTGCACTAGCATAAAAATACTGAAATGGCAGATAGTGAGATTTAGGGAAAAGGAGATACACCAACAGAGATAAAGCCGGAGTTTCATATAATCCTCGTTTCATTTACTTCCATCACTAGTGTAATTTGTTTCTATCACGAATTCACTACAAAGTTACTGCAATCAAATGTAAGTAGGTTTTTTTTGTCTGTTCCATTTCCAAAATGCTGCCATGCTCCCTGAATGGATCAGAGTCTCTCTCAATTTATCCAAGATGAAAAGAGCAGCCTTCATATGTGCTATCCTACACAGAGTAAGGGAGTTCAGAAGATCTCTGACCAAATTTCACCAAAAATCCAGATGCTTAATTTATTTTTTAGAGCGAGATTTTGCTATAGGGCACATGCTCTCACCAGAGAGAGAGACAGAGAGTGAGAAATCACCCCATAGGGGAGATGTTCATGCCACAATCCCTTCTCCTCCATTCTCCTCTCAGGATCTCAGGCACTCACATATATGCACCTGGTGAGTTTTAAACAGCTGGGTCTGGGACTTGAACAGTGGTCGACTACATGGGAGTCCAGTGATGTAACCAACACGCCATCTGCTGGTCCCCAGATGCTTAACTTTTAAAATCAACACAAAGCTTTTGACAACTAATTTGTGTCAAATGTTTAACACTTTGGGTTTTCCGTAATCTACTCTTTTGAGTAGATTAAATTAGACTTAGGTTGCTAAGAAATGGAGAAAGCATGTTAGATGAGGGTTCACTGGTAACAATGTCTCGTTAGAGCAGAGTGAAGGGAGAGTGTCACACAGAGAGGGCTGTGAGAAAGCTGAGTCTGCAACCAGACTCTGAATGGAGAAGGCAACACACAAAACACAGGCAGACATAACATTAAACAATCTAGGTTCAACAGATAGGTGTTTCGATTTGGGTCTTAGCAAAGATCCAAAATGGTGGCCTAGTTTGCAGTCGGCTTGTTATGCCTTTTAAGTCATGCTCTCCATGAGGGATGAGGTGTGGCAGTATTAAAAGGTGGGACTTTTTTGCTTGAAATTGTAGAGAAATGTAGTTTTAATATATATACCAGAGAAAAATCTGAGATGTACAGCAGTGTGTAAAATGCCCTAATTTTAAAAATAAATATCAAATACTAAAGTTTGGTAATATGTTCTAAGATGAAATCATATGCCTTAGGTCTGTGAGGTCAGTAAATTACTCCTTGCTATACATGGAATTTTATTTCCATTGAGATGCACATACTCAATGAAATCATCTTAAAATTTGAGACTCTGTAGGCTAAAAGGCTCCAAGCTGCCTTGTGGGTAATACCAGCGCACGTGTTCAACTGCAGTGCCAGCTTCTGTTTACCGAGACGCTCTCATACCTGGGTGACTCGCCAGCGACAGGAACTTCTGTTCCTTCAGCAAGCTGTAATTCTTCAACAGACTTTCTGCTCTAGCCAGTTTGTCTTCGGCTAGTCTCTCACGCACACAAAGCTCCCGTTCCTTCTCTTTTAAAAGGAATGGAAAAAGAAAAAGGTTAATGCGTGGCTTTGGTCATTAGATAAGTTATATTTGGTCATCTTTTCACTTTTTCTTATCACTAAAACTAGTACGCCTGACCACTGATGGGTAACATTTTGTGCAAGCTTTCTTACCGAATGCCCCAGTCAACCTGACTGTGCCACGCCGCAATCCCTTCTCCTCCATTCTCTTCTCGGGATCTTGGGCACGCACGCACAAGCACCGGCGTGAGTTTAAGCCACCGGGTCCGGGACTCGAGCCACGATCAACTACATGGGAGTCCAGCGACAGCCATTACGCTAACTGCTGGTCCCGAGCAATATTTAAGCCTACATTGGGCCTGAAGCTGTAGAAGTAAAACAGCTCAGCCAGGAGGGTGGTAGGAGGCAGACCCAACCCCATCTCTCATCTCCCAGCATTAAAACGAAGAGCCTCCTTCTCGTCGCTGTGCTTACCTTGTGTAACCCTAAAGCTTTGGTAAGCAGCTCTCATCTTGGTGGGGGAGACTTTCAACATCAAAACTAATTAGCACCTAATCAGTTAATACTCATCAATTCAATGTTAATCCCTATCAGAGCATTATTTATAGACCTAGACTATCTGGCACCCGTGTTCTCTATTAAACTGCCTGCATACACCTATTCCTACAGACTAGGGTTTTAGACCTGGACCTGTGTTGGAGAAGCCATTTCAGAATGTAGAAGTCAAGGTTTTTATGATGGAAGGCAGAAACTGTTAAGACTTTCCTTTATAATCAATAAACTTTAGGGTATTTATAGTAGAGATGAGGGGAAAAAAGCTCTGTGCCTACTGATTAGGGCCATCACAGCTAATGGCCAACAAGAGGAACGCCTAGCAACTGGCCCCAGAGAGAGAAGCCCAAGACGAAGGCGCCAGCGAGTTTGATCAGTCTACGGTGCACATTTTGGTTTGAAGTGTTTATACAAAGGTTCTAATAGGACCTGCAGAAATATTCTGTTCGAATCGATATCACACACATCAACATGACCCACTCAAGCTCTCCTCTGCTTCAGTCCCACTCAGACTTACGCTCCAATCTTTCTTCTCTGGCTTTGAGGGCTCGCTCCCGCTCCTGTAGCTGCATTTCCTTTAGTTTCAGCTCACTCGGAACAGGACCAGACTCCTGCAACTTTTCTGGCTCTCCCAATCGTCGCCCTCTTCTCTCAAGGTTTCTTCTTTGCTCTTCTTCAACTAAGCCTGCTATCAAAGGGCTCTCGAGAATTTCTTCCACAGAAGGTCGATGATAATCCTAAGGAAAAAAAAAAATCACGTGTTATCAGATTGTGCAACAGAATATTTGCCCTAAGAGAGCAGTTACATTAACAGGGCATATATTTCCAAGGCAAACAAAAAGACTCCTTTATGGACCCATCTTAAACATCTGGAAGAACAAGTTCCCGTTTTCATTCATGAGGCTCTGGATCCACAGGCAATGCAGATTTTAACTTACCTCGCTTTCCCTTTCCCCCTTCCTAGGAAGGCTCGGTCCCTGGAGTGCTTTGGTGCATCTGGCACTGCTGCTCGGCTACACTGCGAGGGTCTGTTTTAGGGGGAGTCCCGCCTGGGTCTCTCAGTGACCTTCAATCCTGTTACTCCACCTGCAACCTCCTTGCGATTTACCTTCTCTTACATCAACCCGAGCCCCAGAACCTCTCCCTCCTCATCCTGTGGCCAGAGGTTTTCCACAGAACATCTGTACTATGCCTTTTAGCCATGCCCCCACTCTAAGCTCTCAATTAGAGCTAGAGACAGAGTAATAAAGTCTTATTTCTGGCCCCTTCCCTTACCACCTGCCGCTCGGAGGTAGGCAAGGACAAGGGGAACTGAGGATCTGGATCTTTTTTGCGATCTCTCCCTGCTACCGACCATCTGTGAGCCAGGCGGCGTGTGGGAGGAGAAATGGAGAAAGCGCAGAAGGTGGCCGGCAAGGACGTGCAGCGTGCCAAATTTACATATGTTTTCCCTTGTGGTAATGGAGTATATTTAGCTAAGGAAATAGATTGAATGTTTCTTCGGTCTCCATTGCTCCACGAGACTGAATATATACTCCAAAATGTAACTGAAAAATAAAAACAGACAATGTATAATCTTACAGTCTTTACCTTCAGATTTAACATCCTCGTGATAATATCATTCAATTCATCAGAGTAACGGTATGGAATTCGCCTGAATTTGCCTTCTCTGATCTTTCCAGCTAGTTCTTTCTGGTTGAAAGCTGTAAACGGAGGCCTGGGATAAAAAAAGGAAAAAGAAATGTAGAAACAAAAATATATGCAAATATATAAGAGAAACCAAATCAAATGCACAGTTTGGGCTCTAGTTGGTAGCTATGTTTATCCTTCTGGAATTTTCCTCTAAAGATCGATTTCCTAACCAAAGCACTATTGACATCTGGGGCCCTTCATTCTGTGCTGGGCAGGACGTGGGGCCCTGTCACTCTATGCTGTGGGGCCACCCTGCACACTGAAGGACGTGATGTCACACCCCTGGCTTCCACCCCTGGATGCCAGTAGCACTCCCCTCCATGGCAACAGAAAATGTCTCCGGACATTGCCACGTGGGCCATGAGGGTAAAACTGTTGCCCCCATCCCTAGTTGAGAACCACTGCTCTACAGAATTGTTGACAAGAAAGAAAAGAAGCAGGGAAAGAATTGGAGCTCGTTTCCCTTCTCCAGGTCTCCAGACCGCTCCCCTGATCCCTACTGCTCGTCTTCGTACCCTCAGGCAGCTCCGAGCTGCCGCCTGACCTACGTGCTCCCCCTTGAACTAAGCAGCAGCCCAACAGGGGAAATCTAACCAGTCAAGAACCAGCTGCCTGGGTCATATTTTTCAATGGATAAACTGTTTCTTTATAACTTGTTCACCAACCTCAATTTTAACACAAGATATAATTCTTCCAGACTTGAATATGCTTTTATTAGCAGAGACGCTCAAAAAGCTGAACCCAGTGAACCACAACATACAGTGTAAACTTAAGGCTTGGAATCTGCTGTTATCGCACTTACATTAACGCACACAATTCATACAGCAAACAACCCAGGGACCAGATGTCCGATTTCTCATTGTAAGACATGCGATTCATTTGCTCCTAAACAAGGGAAAAAAGGTGAGAAGGTGAAAGGAGGTGAGAGTTTATTTTGTTTGGGCCAGCCCCACATAGCTGATTCCTTTTGGAATCCTGGCCCAAATACGCCAGGGGTGTATGTGTGTGTGTGTGTGTATGTGTGTGTGTGTGTGTGTGTGTGTGTGTGTGTGTGTTCCAAATCACAACAGGATGGAGAAAAGGAGACAAGACTGTGACATGACCATGTCCCATCGGGGGTGTGCTTTCTCCCTCTCCCCCGTTCTTTCTTTCTCTCTCTGTCATGAGCACACATGCCCTCTGGCACTTAAAGAAAAAAAAAATAAGCCTATTTTGAAACTTATAAAACTTATAAATTACCCTAAAAGAAATGGGAACCTCAAAGTTTTTAGCCTTTTTTAAAAAATATTTTTTCTTCCCAGAGAGAGAGGAGAAGAAAGAGACAAGCACTTCCAACAGGTCTTCATGCCAGGATCCACCTCCAGCCTCAGCCAGCCCAGATCGTGGGCATGTGTGTAGGTACCCAGATGCACAGGGAGGTCTCAGAACGCCAACTGAGACCTTCCCACGGGGATCCAATGCTGTGCCATGCTGCATCACCACTGCACCCTCATGGCCCCTGCGGTCTGTAATTTATTTTCAAAATTGTAATGGAAGGGAACCAGCAGTTAGCGTAATGGCTATGTCGCTGGACTCCCACATAGTCAACCACGGTTCGCGTCCCGGACCCAGTGGCTTAAAACTCACGCCGGGCGCGTGTGTGTGCGTGCCCAAGATCCCGAGAGGAGAATGGAGGAGAAGGGATTGCGGCGTGACCATCCCCCCTGGGGGGTGATTTCTCGCTTTCTGTCTCTAATGTCTCTCTCTGTCTGGCGAGCGCACGCGCTCTATAGTGAAAATCTCTCCAAAAAAAAATTGTAATGGAAGAAAAAGGTAGTAATGTCCTAATATACTTCATCAGATAGAACCCATTTGTTTATATTTCATTCACAGTGACAGCACTGACTATGAGCTAGGCAGTGATAAGTCAAAGGTGAATATGAAAGACCTCTACGCTCTCCCCTCAAGGCATTCATAATCTCAAAACTCCATTTTAAAAGAACCAAAGAAAATTCCAGAATAACCAAAACATACATCTAGCCCATATTTAAATGAATATAGACAAAAATAGCTAATCGAATTTATCCGCTTATAAACTTTTTCTTAGTCCACTGTATAAACTACAGCAGTAACTGATATCCTCATTCCATTTTAATTGCTTGATTCTCTACCATACTCTACACAAAGGCAAGTACCAAAGTCTCCAGGAGACCGATTAGCGTTTTGAAGTCCAGCAGGTGAATCTGGCATTGCTTTTTGACAATCAATGCCTTAGGGAAGCTAAACTGATCTAATTACAAGGGCAGGAGGGAAAAGGAACAAAAGAACTGCACAGGTTTCAAATTCTCCAAGCACCACTTCTGGGTAATATTCCTGTATGTTAAAGGCTATTTGGAATATGATACAGTGAGAAAACGGCACTGTTTGGCCCATGTCAAATCTTAGCCAAAACAAAGTCATTAGTTTATGAACTTTTACACTGTAGCGTATGTCTGTAAGCATAATTTATAAAGATGTGTAAAATCCTAGAAATGTTTGTGAATAAAAAAAATGAATAGGTATCTCTCCATCTGTATCTGCTCAGATGTCCTATAATACACATTGGGGCCATCGCTTACTGCCCCAAGCTTTTTTTTTCCCCTTAAGCAGATTCTCACTAAATCACGATCCTCCTGCCTCAGCCTCCTGAGTAGTCGGGACCACAAGTGCATGCTATCACACCTGGATCTTTACAGGGGCCTGAGAAGTGGACCCAGGCCTCCCCTGTGGCCTCAGCCTGCTATGCAGCAGTATCAACCAGCACTCACTACTTTGGCTGGCATGACTGAGATTTCTAAAAGCCACCAGGTAATATCTAACGATAGCCACAAATCGCTCATTCCCTTTGCCACAACAATCTTATTTTAGTAGCTACGGTCTAAGGGAATAATCAAAAAAGAAAGAAAGAATGAATGATTTCTAAAAGATGCATAGCTCTGTTCCTGAGAACTCAGAGATTTTGGAAACAAAATTGGCATTAATAGAGACAATGGATAAGTAAAATACTGGACCCTGCAGATTTATTTTAGGGAAAGGTAATAGTAACAACAAAAAAAGTACAAAAATTAGCATGGGGGACCAGCAGTTGGCGTAATGCCTATGTCACTGGACTCCCATGTAGTCGACCATGGTTCAAGTGCCAGACCCGGTGGCTTAAACTCACGCTGGGCGCGTGTGCGTGCATGCCCAAGATTCCGAGAAGAGAATGGAGTAGAAGGGACTGGGGCATGGCCATCACCCCAGGGGGTGATTTCTAGTTTTCTGTCTCTCTCTGTTCTTCTGGTGAGCACACACGCCCTATAGCAAAAATCTCTCCTATAAAAAAGTTAGCATGGTAAAAACCTCCAGGGTGAGCAAGCCTGAGCCCTTAATCTCCATGCACAAGAATCCACTCCAGAGTGTTACACAAAATAAAAGTGTTGTGGGAGACAGGAGAGGGCAGAAAGTGGAGGTGGTAGGAGGATTGTGGGGAGGAAAGAGAATTCAAGGACCAGCCCAGACATACTTCACAGGATTTGGGCTCGGGGCCTGTGACTCTGCATTTTAAACACACTCCAAGTGAATTTGATGCAGGTGACCAGGACTATACTCTGAAAAACAATGCTCTTGAGGGCAGGGACAAAACCCATTTCGTCTTTATAATCTCAGAATTTAGCATGTGGTAGTCATTTAATAAAAGCTTGAATGGAATTGTTGAAATGGAAGAGTTAAATAATCTGATGTCTCATGTGACAAACTATAAACAAAAAGAAAATGAAACAATATTATTAATTCTTGACTTCTGGATATTACTGAAAAACAAACAAACAAACAAGAAAAAACAAATCGAAGCTCAATTCCCTTGCATTTGAATGCTTAGCATTAAAATGTTTTAAAAAGCATTGAGGGGCTAGGTGGTAGTGCAGTGATAACAAATTGGACCCACAAGGGGAAGGTCCCAGGTTCACACCCCCGGACCTTCTGTACAAACCTGTGATCCAGGGAACCAGCAGTTAGCGTAATAGCTATGTCGCTGGACTCCCATGTAGTCAACTGCGGTTCGCGTCCCGGACCCGGTGGCTTAAAACCCACGCCGGGCGCGTGTGCGTGTGTGCCCAAGATCCCGAGAGGAGAATGGAGGAGAAGGGATTGCGGCGTGGCCATCCCCTCTGGGGGGTGATTTCTCTCTTTCTGTCTCTCTGTCTCTCTCTGTCTGGCGAGCGCACGCGCCCTATAGTAAAAAATCTCTCAAAAAAAAAAAAAAAAAAAAAAAAAACCCTGTGATCCAGGGCTGCTGAGACTGTGCTATCAGGACTCTGTTAAGAGCGTTATTTTTCTTTCTCTTCTGTCTGTCTTACTCATGAAAGAAATACAGTTAAAAAGAAAATGTATCTATATTCTGGAATACTTACTGGAGACATATAATAAGGTGTGCCAACGAATGTTTTTGCAAAACTCGTATCATGGTTCAGTATTCTAGCTAGCCCGAAGTCTCCGAGCTTGACATTTTGCTTGCCATCCAGGAAGACGTTGGCTGGTTTCAGATCCCGATGAAGCACGGTATGACCACCATCACTTCGTCTGTGACATTCCTTCAGGGCCAGAGTCAACTGAGTCATCACGCGAAGAACGAACTCTTCCTCCAAGTATTGTCTGAAACCAAAGCAGTGATACAGCATTTAACTTCTGAATAAAGCCATTACATGTCCACCTGGGGTGGCGCAAGCAGGAGGGCACAGCTGCATCGATGCCGAAGTCACATGGGAGGCCCTGGCTCAGTTTCTGACTCAACAGAAACAGGTCGGACACAGTGGGAGCTAGCTAACTAGGAGGCTGAGGCAGGAGAATTGTGACATGGTGAGACCCTCTCAAAGATCTCTCTTGCTCTCTCTCATTAAAAACAAAATAATCATCGCAATACAGGATGATAGAAATTAGTTTAGTTTTATTTTATAAAAGTTTTCTTATTAAGATTCTTTGGAGACACAGGTAGCCCTGACGGGCTCACCATGCCACAATGCTCCCCCTGAGCCTCCCAGCCAGCCCAAATCATAGGTGCACGCCAGGCATAACTGGTATGTTCAGGTCAACTTGGGATCCAAACTCGGTCCTCCCATGTGGCTCCAGTATTGGATAGTAGGGCCCTATGACCTGCACCTCATAGCTGGGCCTACATTATCTAGTTTTTTCTTTTTTAGAGATTTTTTTTTTGAGAGAGATTTTTGCTATAGGGTGCAAAAATCTTTTCACCAGAAAGAGAGAGACAGAGATAGAAAGCGAGAAATTACCCCCCGTGGGGGATGGCCACGTCACAATCCCTTCTCCTCCATTCTCCCCTCGGGATCTTGGGCATACACACACATGCCCCCAGTGTGAGTTTAAGCCACCGGGTCCAGGACTCGAACCACAATCGACTACATGGGAAACCAGTGACAAAGCCATTACACCAACTGCTGGTCCCTAGAGAGATTTTTCTTTGCTATAGGGTGTGTGCGCTCACTAGGGAAACAGAGACAGCAAGAAATCACTCCCCAGGGGGATGGCAATGATGCAATCCCCTCTCTTCCCCTCTCCTCTTGGGATTTTGGGGACGCATGCACATGTGCCTGGCATGAGTTTCAAGACACCGGATTCAGGACTTGAACCACAGTTGGCCACATGGGAGTCCAGTGACATACCATCATGCCATCTGCTGGTGCCACATTATCTAGTTTTAAGTGTACAAATATTAAAATAAACTATTGTTTTGATATGAAATCAGAGTGTTGATTCACCAGGCATTTTCTAAAGTACTGTGGACCCACCAAATATAAACACATCTTCTATATTACTAAGTACTTTGTCCCTGATGCTAAAACAAGATGTTTAACAGAAACAAAACTGGATCGTTTCGGCTTACATTTTAAAGACTGCATTTACCTTTCCTTGGTTCCCTTTGTAATTACACTAGCCAGGTCCCCTCCTTCGCAATATTCCATTACAATGTACAGGGTTGTGTTGGTTCGGTCAATAATTCGATCATAGTATCGGACGATGTTTGGATGTTTCAATTCACGAAGCAAATTCACTTCAGAAACAAGCATCTGTTTCTCTGCTTCTGTCATGGATCCATAGTCAAGTTCTTTCCAAACTAATACCTGAAATAAAAATTTCCAAGGTATGCATTAGTATAAATTGTGACACTCAAAAACAAAGAATGGAAAATTGTAAGATGTGAAAAATTACCTTTTTTAAAAATATATCCTACAATCAAGGTCACTCTCATCTAATTTAGTTCATCAACAAACTTAAGGGGCCTTTGGGACCAGCAGTTGGCATAATGGCTATGTCGCTGGACTCCCACGTGGTCGACCACGGTTCGCGTCCCGGACCCGGTGGCTTAAAACTCACACCGGGCACATGTGCGTGCATGCCCAAGATCCCGAGAGGAGAACGGAGGAGAAGGGATTGTGGCGTGGCCATCCCCCCTGGGGGGGTGATTTCTCGCTTTCTGTCTCTCTGTCTCTCTCTGTCTGTCTGGCGAGCGCACACGCCCTATAGCGAAAACCTCTCAAAAAAAAAACTTAAGGGGCCTTGAGTTTATTTCCACAATCTCCCTCTAATTTTTTTAATAATTAATTAATTTTATTCATTGTCATTCTTTTTTATTTTATTGAAGTTGACCAGAGAGAGACAGAATGAGAGAAGGAAAGTGAGAAAGCAAGCTGCCAGGTCCGGGACTCGAACCAGGGTCAGCCATGTGGGAGTCCAGTTGCTTTAACCACCACGTAACCTGCTGGCTCCATTCTTCTCATTTTTAAGCAGTAAATGATGCTATGGTGAGAGCAGGAGGGTGAAGCACGGTTACGTTTCTCCCAAACCCCTACCCTCAGCTGCTTAGCGGGAGGTTGGCATAAAGGTACTTTGACATTGGCTGGGGCAGAGGCTGGGGCAGAGGTGGTCAACGTCCCTGAGCACCAACCAGCCATGCTTTCCCAGCATGAGAGGCTGTGGTAAAGGCCCTCCATCAGTGGCCAGGCAGTTGCCTCCCCAATATTTCTTCCTGTGCAAGGTCGACCATGAATCCAATAATCCAAGAAATGGGCGGTGAATTATAACTGCAGTTATAAAAGCTTCAGGTTGCAGATGTCCTGCCCCTTTCTCGTGGACCCTTTCTTGTGTCTAAGGGGACTAACTCTTCTGAGTAGCCACCTGCCACTAGGAAGTCAGTCCCTTAGCAGATTAAAGCAGGAGGCAGGGAGGAAATGGGAGAAAAACAAGTAAATATGGGAAATATATATAATATATACTGTATGTGTGTATATTTACATACACGTGCTATATATATATATATATATATATATGCAATATGTGAGCATATAGTTATGGTATGAAAAGACGTAGTGTCCCTCCGGAGCGGCCCAGGACGGGCTGTCAGCTGACTTAGGGGAACCTGAGTCTTCCGCCTTTGTAAGGCCAGGCCTCCGGCTCCCCTGGGCGGTGCAGGGGCGGGGACAAGGAAGGGGCCCGCGCTCACCTTGCCGTCGCTCTTCCTGCGGATCTTCTGGCAGCGGCC